ATTGTGGTGATATTTTTTCCTTGACAGTTACGATTTCCTGATTTATAAGTCCAGCTACATCAACCAGGTCTGTTTTGATCATTCATTAAAATGATCATAATTGCAGTATATTTCATCTGTGGAGCAAAAGATCTTACTAAGGAAATGGAAAGTATAAATCATGTAAAGCAGAAATATCCATTTATTTACAAATAATATTTGTGATAAGTAGATATTAATCTATTACATATTAATCACTGCTTTGGCAGATCCTTTAAATTATTATATGTTAATTATTAATTAATATATATTATTAATTAATAATTATAATGATTAATTATATAATAATTTAATAATAGTTATTAATTATAATTATTAATTTCCTCTTTGTTAAAGTGTTTTTTTTCACCATTAGCCTATCATAGTGCCGAGTAATAAAAATTATGTTTATGAAAGTACTGTATTTCAAAAGGCTGCTCCACTGCACATTTATTCAGTTTGCAAAGTTGGTAAATTTACCTGTAAATTAAAACCATGTAAAAATTAAAGGAGTTTAAATATAATAGAATATGTAGTTTAATTTGGTTATGACAGTAACCCAACTCCAACTAATGCAGGCAAACAAAGGAAGCTTTTTGGTTTGCACAGTTGTGGGAATGGTAAGGGTTATGCTGGTTTCATGGACACCTGGATCTAAGAACTCAGATCAAGTTAGATAATAGTGGCTTTTTCCCTCCTTTTCTTTTCTTCTCCTCTCTTCTTTTTTATCTCCTCTGTCTGCTGTCCTACTACTTTCTCTGTGATGTTGGGAACATGTCGAAGCCAAGATGACAAAGTTCTTGTTAGCAAATTCAAGTTAAAGTTGAGAGACGAGGCCGGGCGTGGTGGCTCACGCCTGTAGTCCCAGCACTTTGGGAGGCAGAGGTGGGGAGATCACCTGAGGCCAGGCATTCGAGACCAGCCTGGCCAGCTTGATGAAACCCAATCTCTACTGAAAATACAAAAATTAGCTGGGTGTTATGGTGGCTACCTGTAGTCACAGCTACTTGGGAAGCTGAGGCAGGAAAATTGCTTGAACTGGGGAGGTGGAGGTTACAGTGAGCCAAGACCGTGTCACTGCACTCCAGCCTGGGTGACAGAGTGAGACTCTGTCTCAAAATAAATAAATACAAACAAAAATCTAGAGATGAGTTTTTGTCTGGTTCACATGCTCATCCCTGGACCTACCAGTGTGGCCATGGGTATTGGACACTCTGGCTCAGCCAGCGTTATATCCCCATGTCTCTCTGTGGAGTGGGCGAAGGAGGAGGAAGATGATGATGTGCAGTTTGATATCAAAAGTAGGGGGAGGTTTTGGGGAAAATAGCACTATAACCAAGGGAAAGGCAACCTGAACATTTATCATATCCTGTAGGCTATACCTCCTTGATTTATTTTTTGTATGGCTTAAAGCCAGGGCTCTTTCCCAATTGGGGCTTTTTGTTTTGTTTTGTTTTGTTTTTTGAGCTTGTAATAAACATTTAAATTTCATCAGTTTGAATTTCTTTGCTGCCAATAGTGGATATTTGCTTTTTTTTTTTTAATCTGTCATTTAATATACACCTTTCTACTTAGACTACATCTTGAGAAGAATTATATTGGCTCATTGGACATGTTTTCTCCCAAGAATTTAAACTGTGAAGTAAGAGATGAAAAGATATGGGCCAATGTTTGAGGACCAGGCAGGGCGGTGGCATGTCTTTCCCTGTGATTCCTGTCAATTATTGTATCCTGGTTTCGGTTTTCTAGTTCTCTTTTGAGTGGGTTCTTATATTCTTTCAGGAAAGTTTCTTTTTGCTAATAATGGTCAGTGTCAATTTTCAGTGCTCACAAGCAAGAACCATGCTTTCTTTTAGAAGATTGGTATAAGAAGGCCACTGCCATTCTCATGAGACTTGTAGGAATCTTTGACAGTAGAGAAATCACAAATACAACTTCTGTTGTTTGACCTGTATGTTGCTTCCCTTTGGTAACAGAGATTTACATTAAATGAAGCCAAGAAGTTACATTAGAGCCTTTGCTGCTCTTTATGGTATTGCTAGTCACATATGACTATTGAAACCTAAATTTTAATTAGGATTTAAAATTGAAATTGCATTCCTCAGTCTCACGAGGCACATTTCAAGTGTGCATTAGCAACATGTTGCTTGTGGCTATCATATTGGAAGGCAGAGATTATAGAATATTTCCACCATCAAAGAAAGCTCTGTCAGACCACACTGTCGGAGTATAGACTCCTCAAGGGTAGGCATTCTGTCCTTGTTATTTTCCGATGTATCCATGACATTTACAATGGGCTCAGCATGTATAGGTCCTCAGTAAATATTTGCTGAATGTTGAAATAGCATATATTGGCTGCCTGCCACAGAAGACCTATACCATGATCCTTACAGTTGAAGAGAACTTGAAACAGCTCCATCTTAATGTTATTCCAAATTTCCATTTAAACTTTTTCATAGCTACATTGTCTGTGTAACTTGGCCCTCCAGTTGACGTACTATTTCTGCCTTCATAATTACTTTAAAAGTATAAGGTACTTGATCTCATAGTTTCTTTTCCCCCTACTTACTCATCTTTCTCCTTCTGAATTCTCCCTATCTTTTACTCATTAAAACTTTTGACAGTTTCCACTGTAGCCTCTGGAATCCCAATTCTGTTATCAATAACTTTTTTTTGCAATCTAAACATTTTTGTGAATGCCTCTCCACCTACCAAAAACTGCGTTCTTCTCATGGTATGTAACCTGGCACACCTTTTAAGCAGAAATTACTCTTCCTTTCTCTCTCCTGCAAGAAGAGACGAAGAAGCGAAGTCAGCATTTGTAAACCCCATTGGTGCTTCCAGTTTACTGTCTGAGTATGGTTAAAGTGATTTTTTTCTTTGATATTTTTTGCATCCAGTTTTATGCCTGTCTTTCATCTCTTCTAATTAATGAACTACAGTGTATTCCTTAACAGTCACTAAGGATTTTCATATCTGGCTCAACTTTTTTCTGTTTTCTATTTCTCTTGCCATCATTCTTAGTGAGTATGTATTCATGTTGTTGAACTACCCAACACCTTAGCCTTACGGTTTATTCTGTCTGCACTCTGGCATTCTCTTATCTTTATTCTACTTTAGCATCTTGTACACCTAGGCCCTTCTTGGACCTTGTCATCACCTAGACTTCATCACTTCAAAGAGGTAAATATCTTTTTTTCCCTCTTACTCATGCTACTCTCACTGAAGATATTGAAATTAGTAGTCTTTGGATTTCTCTTTTTCTTCCAACCTGTTAACCTGGCTCCATTCCTTTTCAGCTTGGAAACTGTTTGATGTTCTTACTTGTACAGGAGCAAAGAATATGAATTTTCTCGACTTCTTGTCATCTTAGAATTTCAGTATCTTCATCCATCCTCTCTTCCCTTTGTATTTTGAAAATTTCCTTTGCCCCCTCTTAAGTGAACAGTGCTTTTAATGCCATCTTCTCTACTTCCTCTGTACTCTTACTCACCTATATCTTTAATTTCTCTATCTCTGACTCTTATTTTTCTTTCAAGACTCAGTTCAAATTGCATCTCATTTATTCAGCTTTAACTTACTATCTAATGAAAGTTAATTGCAGTTTCTTCAGTACGTTGTACTTCTATTATAAAGCATATTTTCTTTTGACTTATTGTGACACACCTTGAGTATTTAAAACCTAATCAAAAGGGATACTGTACTTTACTCCTAAATCTATAGTACTGTCTTTTGAAACATTTTCTACCTTTTTCTCTTTTGTTCAAAAAGGTAGATTTAATGCCATTGGTCTTATTCTATTTTATTTATGTTAAGATCCATTGTCTCATAGAATCCTAAATTATCTGGATTCTAACCCAGTACTGCTTCAACAAAATGAACTGAAGAAGGCCTTATTGTATATCATCTCCTATAGTCTACCATAATGGTGCTTTTACTTATTTCATATTTCATGTAATTTTTTTGTCATCCTTTCATATTCTAATGATTTTCAGATACTCTTTACCGTTGGTTTATTTGGCTTCAGATTTTGTATGTAGGGCACTATTGTTTCTCTTCATGTCTATTTAACTTATATAGATAAGTTTATAGATATAAATGCTTTCTTAACTGGGTCATATTTCATATTAATTTGCCAATTGTATCCAGATTCTCAACCGGAGCTAGGATGTACCTAGGGCCTTAGTTTTCAACTCTGGACCTGAACTGAGACCCACAGTGTTCTCTCTTCTATTTTCATCTTAATGATTTTGTGGAAAGAAACCTTTACTAAGTCAGTAACCGAAAAGCCCTAAGTTAGCTGCCCAGCTACCTGAGAGGCTAAGGCAGGAGGATTGCTTGAGCCAAGGAGCTTGAGGCTAGCCTAGGCAATATACTGAGACTGCATCTCTTATTTAAAAAAAAAAAAAAAAAGGCACCAAGTTGGTAACATTCATAAACATTTAATGGACAAAGTACCCAGAAAGTTTGAAAGAGTAATCATATAGCTAGAATTATGAAATAAGAATGTGACTGGTACTGATATGGAGCAAAAGGAAAAGGACTGGCCCTCTTTAGATTCATTGTTTCTGGCATTTGTATGTAAATATCTCAGGAAGCAATGGGTCCTATCTTAAGGTTTTTTCCATGTTTTACTGTCCAATCATCTCACACATTTAAACAGTTAATCCATGATTTGGGTTGGTTCATTTAGTCTATCAGCAAAAGTTTATTGAATTCTTATTGTGTTTAAAGCATAGACTTAGATTCTTGAGAGTATTGTTCAGATAAACACATTCTACTTGGTTAGATAAGGCATGCTAATAATACCAAGCTATAAATAAGTGCCAAGTGAATTATATTTGAGATAGACGTTTGAAGAGTTTTGAAAGGGAGGAGGCTGAGGGGCCTATCCTGCCAAACCTAATTAGTGTAATGTCTTCCTCATGAGGTTACTGACTTGGTCACTAGAGCTGCTCTGCATTTTAAGGCTCTGGCTGTAGATGTATTAGTCCCTTTGAAGAGTCTACAAATGTGTAAGTATACATTCATCTCAGGGACGAAAAGCTCCATAAGATATTTTATGGAATACAGGATGGTGTGTTGTATTAGTTTTCTTTTAAATCTGTAGCCTTGTAGAATGAAAATGAAGTACTGGGTGTCTGAAAGAATTTTGTAAATTGTAAAATACTATGTAGATGTAAGTTGGCCTCTCCTAAACTAGACTACTTTCTGATGCCTTAGCAAGACCTTCTGTACTTTTCCACAAAATGCTACTTGTTCAGGCTGTTCTTTATGTATATCAAAATCCTACCTGTCAGGTTTTTATCCATGTAGTATTCCCTAGTACTGTTGGACAGACTTGATTTCTCATCCTCTCTATCCCCATACTTTGTAGATTTTCCTATCACAATAGCAGTGATTTGTTTAACATTTTTGTTGTATGTGAACACAATCTCGTTTCTTGACGTCTCAATCTTTGGTTGTATTTATACCTTTACTCAGTGACTGGTGCCAAACAGGCATTCCATAAAATGACTGTTTAATTCAGTAAAATAAATGAACCATGGATTCTAATGTCTTTTGTTGGGTTGTGATTTTTAGGTTAAAACTTCAGCAACAAATTGTGACTATTGAAAATGCAGAGAAGGAAAAAAATGAAAATTCTGACCTAAGACAGGTATGATTTTAGCAAAGATTTTCCTTTTATTTTTCTCAAGTGCTTCTTTAAATTTGTGTTTTGCAAATTAAAAAAATTTTTTGCAATTAGTATTTTTAGAATCTAACCACAATTAATAACATACTGTTGAAGGTTAATATGTAAAGATAAAATGTTTAAATCTGTATAATTTTGTAAGCTTCTTTTGCTAACTGCTGTTATTCTTAAGATATATAGGCTGGGCACGGTGGCTCACGCCTGTAATCCCAGCACTTTAGGAGGCCAAGGCAGGCAGATAACAAGGTCAGGAGTTCGAGACCAGCCTGACCAACATGGTGAAATTACGTCTCTACTAAAAATACAAAAATTAGCTGGGTATGGTGGCATGCACCTGTAGTTCCAGCTACTCGGGAGGCTGAGGTAGGAGAATCTGAACCCGAGAAGTGGAGGTTGCAGAGAGCTGAGAATGCACCATTGCACTCCAGCCTGGGTGACAGAACAAGACTCTTTCTCTCTCTCTCTCTTTCTCTCTCTCTCTGTGTGTGTGTGTGTGTGTGTGTGTGTGTGTGTGTGCGCGCGCGCGCGCGCTGTGGCCCATGATAATTTTTTTAAATTGCAGTTAAAAGGACAGTATTATAAAATTCTGAATTTTAAAAACTCAATAGAAATATTTTCCAGGCATGATTGACATGTAACTTTATATTATGAGGTAGTTTTTACTATGTCCCTATGAAATCTAAGATTTGTATTTATGGAAGGAAATTTATATTTATAATTAACAGGAAAGATTTGTATAAAGTTGGGTAAAACATGGAAGAGTGATCTTTTCTGAATTCTTTCTTTTTGTTGTTGTTTTTGTCCCTATAAATTATGAAGTAGGATTCCATTTTTAGAATTCATGTTTGTGTGCTAGTTGGTACTGATTTTCATGTGCAGTTATGGTTTCTAAGTCTTAACTAGATGGATATAATGTTTGATACCCAGAGAGAAGTTATTTAGTCTCATTGGCATTTGGGCTTTCTGTCATTCTATGCATATGGAGAGGTATTAAGCTCTTTGAAGTTTACTTATTCAAGCTGCTGTAATACAGATTTAATATTTGCCACTCCAGTTAAAAATAAAGAATGAATAGTTCTACATGTAGAAATTCATTCTAAAATAGAAATCTGAGATATGCCATTTTGTTTTCTGCTAAAAATTGCTCTGTGGACATTCAGAATCCTATCTGAATTGGTTTTGTTACCATTAAGAAGTAATGGGATTATAATCCATTTATTTAGTTTATTATATAAGAATCTTGTTTCTTTTTGTCCTTGAATCTCATAATGGGTTCTTTTGATTCCTGTCTCTTGACGGTGTTTGCCCTCAAATGTCTCTCAGAAGTGGCTAAGAGAGATAAAGGAAGTGAAAGGAAAATAAGGACTTTTATTGTTTATTAATTGTTAAAATAGTTTGTGGGGGAGTTATATATAATTGTCTTAAATGAAGATTATTTGGATATAATTTAGAAGAGTGTGCATCTTTCTAGCCTGTTAATCTGTGATTAGACCTCTCAAGAAAAAGTACTACCAGATAAAGGTAAATTGGGATGGGAAAAAAAGCTTTGAGTGACATTATGTAGTTTGGTAAATGGCTGTAGAGGCCAAGTGATCTGTAGCATTTATTAGATTTCCTAGATATCTTTCTTCTGCCCAGCAGCACTGGACATGTAGACTGCTTGGAAACCTTTTAAAAACAATGTGAGAGTGATTCTTTCCATATTTACAGTGAACAATTTTGATTGCTTGGAGAGTAGAAGTTCTGGAAGGTTGCTGATCTCAGGGTATGTGGGAAGAAGAGGATGGATTTTTTTTTTTTTTTTTTTTTAGCTGCTTTCTCAGCTGACTTGCTTTTAAAATCAGTTTGTTTGTTTCTTTTTTTCCCTAGGAAGTGAGGGGACGGCTAGAGTGATAGGAGACTCACTCTAATCACTGGATTCCCTTTTCTCATTTCCCTTCTACCCCCTAATAACCCTTTTTCTCATTCCCCATACCTCTCCTGGCCTGCATATTTTGGGAAGAAGAGGTAGAGGATTCAGTGACTGAGGATTGTAGTTGTTGATGGTCTCTGGTTATAAGAAATGCTCCTAGGTGCTGCTATTTATTATTTCCTTTAGGGGGCATCTTCTTTGGGATGCCCCTAACTTTGGGGAGCATTTGCAAAGGGAGATGCTTGGTATCTTCTGCTTCTCTCATACCTTACCACATTTATTTAGTGGCTTTTAATTTATCTTCTTTCTTCTCTTTTAAGCAAATGAGTAGTTTGCAGATCCAAGTGACCTCACTTGCACAGTCAGAGAATGACTTGCTGAACTCAAACCAAATGCTGAAGGAAATGGTGGAGAGGTTAAAACAAGAATGCCGAAATTTTAGAAGCCAAGCTGAAAAAGCGCAACTAGAAGCTGAAAAGTAGAGTTTGCTCTTTATGTACAAACCTTTTCTTTTTTCTATATAATATATAGTTATTTTAGTAATGATTCCAATGGTGATTATATTTTAGGAACTAGTTACGAATACGCTTTGATAGTGTACAGTGGCCTACTGAGGTAATAATGTATGTTTCTATAGAATGAACTATACTGACTCTTGAATTGTTTTAAAAAAGACATTAAAATTCTGACAGCATAGTATTCTGAAAAACCTCAAAGAAAACTTTTTTATTTATTGAGTAAACCAAAACATTTCTTCAAAAATCTGTTCTTCTGAAGGCCAGAGAACAGAATGGATTTTTTGTTTTGTTTTTGATGTACAGAACCTACTTCCTTGAATTAGAACTACTCTCTTGGATTTTCTTTGAAAAGCTTTTTTTTTTTTTTTTGGTCTTAAAATTTGTTACTAGTAGTATAGTAAAACTGGTAGGGATCAAGTGATTGTGGTGAAGTTGAAGATCTTATATCCTCTGGAAAAATTTGTTTAGATGTGGTAGAACACTGTACTATTTTGTATTTACTTTGTCTTTATAACTTGCTGGCCTTATAAGTAAATTTTTATTTTAATCTACAAAACATTATTCTTTTCACATTTCTTCTACTGAAGGCCACCATGCTACATAAAACTGTTTTTCTTCAGTTTTTCTATTATTACATATTTTAAAGTTTGCCCATAGTTTTATATATGGGGTTAAATTTCAAGAAGAGTAATCAAGATGAACATCCATAGCATGTTGTGACATTTCAGATGATCCAACTTACATTTCTTTTATTTTGTAAAAACTAGAAACGTGTGCCTTGGAATTCTCAAGTGTTTGATTGAAATGAGTGTAATAATTCTAATGACAGTGTAGCTAGCAAATTTAAGTATTATTTAAATAATATTTATAGACTTGTATAGAAGAAAATAGCTGGACTAAGGGTCAGTGGAATGTGATTTAATTCCAGCTAAGATACTTAAAATCTTGTATGACCTTTGGCAAGTAATCTAACTTCTCAGGGTTTGTTGTTTTTATTTGTACTGCCTGTAGTAAGAATACTAAAAAAAATCATATAAAGTATGCAGAATAGCTTTAAAAATATAAGATGTTATAATGTTATTTTAAGATAACATTTGTATTAATTTTACTCTAGTCAGAAGACATACTGCATTAAGATCTGATACCCGGCTTGATTTTCTAAGTTTATGAGGATAGATATTTGTAGTTTGATGGTTATTATGTCTCATACCTGGTTATCAAGTGTTTATCTTGCCATTAAGTAGATGTGAGTCCTTAAGCAAGTTAGTTAACTGTTCTAAGCCTCAGTGTCCTCATTTATAAAATGGACAGAAGTATAAAGGTGACAGAAATAGCTAACTCGGGATTTTTGTAAAGAATACGTGACATAATACACATAGTGTCCCGAGTCCAATGCCTGATTCATAGGAAGTGCTCAGTAATGGTGAGATTTGCAAACATGTGGCCATACAAGAAGGCCTGTAGTTAGATAATTACCAATATGGTCAGACAGGTAGTGAGTTTGCTTATACTTCAGATAATATCTATTTATTCCTAAGAACTTACTTAACTTCCATGTTTTACATACATTCTTCTGACAGGACATTGGAAGAGAAACAGATACAGTGGTTGGAAGAAAAGCATAAGCTTCATGAGCGTATCACAGACAGAGAAGAAAAGTATAATCAAGCTAAGGAGAAATTGCAGCGAGCGGCAGTTGCCCAGAAAAAGGCAAGTGGTTCTTACTAAAATGATTGCAATAGAGTAAAATATAATTAACTTTTTTTTTTTTTTTTTTTTTTTTTTTTGAGAGTCTCATTCTGTCACACAGGCTGGAGTACAGTGGTGTAATCTTAGCTTACTGCAGCCTTTGTCTCCGGGGTTCAAGTGATTCTCATACTTAAGCCTTTCAAGTAGCTGGAATTATAGGCATGTGCCACCACGCCTGGCTAATTTTTGTATTTTTAGTAGAGACAGAGTTTCCCCATATTGGCCAGTCTGGTCTCAAACTCCTGACCTCAAGTGATCCCCACACCTCAGCTTCCTAAAGCGCTGACAGGCATGAGCCATCACAACCAGCCTAATTAACTCTTTTAGGAGAATATATAGTTGAATCTGAGATTTTAGTGATATGTTTAATTTGATATATAAGCATGACATTTTGCTGTCAACCTTACAGAAATAAATTGGGAAAATCCAAACTGTCCAGTAGGTTTGTTTCTAAATTTTGTGTCTTAAGTCAGTTGTTTCGAGCTGACAAGCATTTTCTCACACAGAAGGTGTTTTTCAGAGTGATAGTTTCCAGGCCAACCCATGGAAGTCATATTTAACACATTCTCCAGTTAAATTATAGTGTGATGAAGCTTGTTTCAATTATACCTACTATCTATTTTATTGCTTTTGTGGTGAAAAGGCTTTTTTGTTTCCAGTTCAGAAATATAAGAGCATTTTTTTGCCCCAGCAGAAGGAACTGAGACTCCCTTGGCTTCTGAAACAGCTACAATAGTTCCCACAGCATTGATCCTTTGTAAGTTTTACCTTTGCAGGCATACTTTTCCCCAGAACCTAAAAACTTTGTTTTCTTGGAAACAGTCCTGGGCGTGGTGGAAATAATGTATCTAGATGGATCATCTAAGTCAGTGGCTTACAACTTTTTTCTATTTCAGTAAACCCAAGGAATGTAGCAGGTCCCATTAGTAACCATGACTCATGGCAGTGATTAAGGGAGGGGAGGGACATGGTAATCTTTTCAACAGGATTAGAGGAAGAGGAGGGACATGATGAAGTGAGAGAGAGAGAGTGAGTGTGTGTGTGTGTGTGTGTATGTATGTGAGTGTGTGTGTGTGTGAGATGCAGATTTGAATTGTCTCCATTTGATAGATTCCCTTAGCAGTAGCATTGGTTGTGGAGGGGAGAGAAGATCTGAGATGAAAGGAAGATGCTTCTACGTCTGGGAACCATTATCTGAATATCTGTTTGATTACTGTAAAGGTTAACTGTTTATATTTGGATAAGAGAAAATAACTCTAGATCATTCATATGTTCTGAATTTGAAAACCACATAGCAGTTCCTAGATACCTTTTTATGTAATTGGATATCACTGCCAAATGTTACTGACAGTTGGAGTGACAACATGAGTAGTCTAAAAGTCATTACTTCTCTACTTTCTTGGTCTCTGAATATTACTTTTATCTTCTCAAAATGCTAGAAGTAGTATTATTAGAAAAGCATCATTTATTATATGGAAATCCCAGTGTTTTATACCCAAATATGCACACTTGGTTGTTTTTCTGTATTTGTCATTTTTCTTCCTCTCTGTCAGTGTAAGTACCAAAAAGTATATGGGTGTTAATGGGATTTCAGAGGATTGTTTTATGACCTGTGATTTCAGACATCCTACTGATTTTTGTTTGCACTGTTGTTTGAAGCCTAGAAACAACTGAAGCCACATTACAGCAAGAAATCACTAGAAATCGTAAGAGCTAAAATATTGAGACTTTAGGGATAAGTATCTTACAGATCAAATTCTAATTATTGAGGTTAGTTTGGGTTGAATTCTTTTGGAGCAAAAGTGACACCCAGTGGTGAGATTATCAACTAATCATAAGTATACCAAAAAGAGGGGAGGAGGTGATATTTTTAAAAATCTACGGCATATAGCTAGACCCCGGCTCTACGAAAAATAACTGCATGGTGGCACATGCCTGTAGTCCCAGCTACTTGGAGGGCTGAGATGGGATGATCGCTTGAGCCCAGGAATTCAAGATTGCACAGAGCTATGATAGTGCCACTGCCCTCCAGCCTGGACAACACAGCAAGACCCTATCTGGAAAAAAAAAAAATTGAAACAAACCACCAAAACACTGCAAAGTAACATTTCATTAGTATTGTGACAGGTCACATTTTCTACTGAAATATCTGCCAAATGATGAGTGTAAAGATAGTAAATAGTAATTTTATTTTTAAAAATGTGATCTGCGGCCAGGTGTGGTGTTTCACACCTGTAATCCCAGCACTCTGGGAGGCCAAGGTGGGTGGATCACAAGGTCAGGAGATTGAGACCATCCTGGCCAACATGGTGAAACTGCGTCTCTACTAAAAATAACAAAAATTAGCTGGGTATGGTGACGTGCACCTGTGACCCCAGATACTCGGGAGGCTGAAGCACAAGAATCACCTGAACCCAAGAGGCGGAAGTTGCAGTGAGCTTAAATCTCGCCACTGCACTCCAGCCTGGCGACAGTGAGACTCAAGTCTCAAAAGAAAAAATGTGATCTATGGATTGTGATTTAAGTCATAGTGGAATTGGTAAGATCATTTCAGTGAATGATTATGACCTAGAGTTGTCTTACTATGTGGGACACTGCTTTAGGAGCTTACAAGTGTACATCAATTAAAATGGAAAAACATCATGTGTAACTTAGAAATACAATTAGAAAGTATATACGTGTATATAGTTATAGGACTGAAGGGATCTTAGCATTCAGGTAGATTTTACACATTAGCAAACTAAAGTAGGAGGTTACTTGACTAGTAAGGATCAAAAGTTGAGTAAAATCTACATGTTTCTGTTCTCAGTCTGGTGCCCTTTCCACTGCTCTGTTACACTTTAATTTCCTACTTTCTTTGATTCCATTTACTTCATAACTTTTCTCTTTATTATGGTCTGTCTGAGTTGTTTCTTATGTCAGAATAATCATTGTAAATTAATTTAACTCATACCCTTTTCTTATTCAAGTTAAAGATAATGCTTCTATTTGACAAATTTGGCTATCAGATTGCATAAATATAATTCTTAAGAGTGCAGCAGACTTTTTAGGTTCTTTAATGCCAAAAATCATAACATTTCATCCCATTAGATTTAACAAAAATCACATATTATGAACCCTAGGGCAGAAATAATAATCCGTTAGAGTTGCTTTCCTGTGAAAAGGTTTTTTTTCTCCCTCAGGCTGCCATCTGAGGATGTTTACTCCGAGCTCCAAGCTCCAAAGCAAAAAGATTGTCATTTCTGCTGTTTTTAGGTAGTCTTTGGTGTAAAGGATGTTTTGTTGTGTTGAATTGTTTGGAAAAGCTTGACTAGGATCTTGAGTTGGGATGCCATTCTATGATTAATATATACAGAGATAATGTATTTTCCCCACCCCCACTGAAAAGAGATCTTTTGAAGTGAACACAGTGAGGTTTTTTTTTTTATACATAGGCACCTGAAATGACTTTTTTTTTTTTGAGACGATGTCTCTGTCACCAGTCTGGAGTGCGGTGGTGTGATCTTGGCTCACTGCAACATTCGCCTCCTGGGTTCAAGCCATTCTCCTGCCTCGCCCTCCCAAGTAGCCAGGACGAAAGGCATCCACTACCACACCCAGCTAATTTTGATATTTTTAATAGACTGTGTTTTACCATGTTGGCGAGGATGGCCTCTATTTCTTGACTTCGTGATCCACCCACCTCGGCCTCCCAAAGTGCTGGGAGTACAGGCATGAGCCACTGCACCTGGCCTGTTATCTTTATTCTAAGGTATGTGTCTCTGAAATAATTCTTGGTCAGATGCTGTTATGAATGCTTTCAAAAAAGAGATGAATTATAGTCTGAAGTTGCAAAATATCTTACTGAATATGTTGTGTGGCCTAGATTATGCTACACACTGGGGGGGGAAATAGAAGCCATGAGTACTTCTTGCCTTTGATGACTGTATAATCTTGTTGTAGAAATAAGATAAAATGCAAGAAACTCCTAAATAATACCACCAGCCGCTCCTGGGTGATTTATGTGGACGCTATAAGAACCACTGTGCTAGACAGAAAGAAGTCTGAAGACAAAGAGACCACTTAGGAAGCTGTTAAAGTAAACTTAAAGTGAAGTAAGAAGTCTGAAATTGGGGCTTAGAATATAGGAATGAAGGTGAAGGGTGACTGCCAGAGGTATTCCAAAGGAAAAAATAATTACAGAATATATTGGTAAATAAGAAAGATAACTATGAAGTATTGTAGCTGTGAAAAGATGTAAGTGCAGTTATTATAATGGATTGAAGAATGTCAGTTGAGGAGTAGAAAGATACAAAACACATGTCAGATATGAAATGATGGCAGTACATCCATGTAGACATGACTTAGATCCTTAAGTAAAGATATTGTATAGGTAACTAAAAATGATAGAATGTAAAGTACAGAGATGAATAATTCAAATTAGAGATATATAATTAGAAACTCAAGATTTTGCAGATCGCTGAAGTTTACTTAGAACAAGGAGCTAGGTGTGGTGCGAACAGAGGTGGAAGCTATATTGTGATGTTATGGGAACCAAAGGTAAAGATATCAAAGATAAATAGCCATTAACATTATTGAAAAAAAGTTAATTGGATTTGACTAGAAGGTGGTAAAAGGGGAATCCCAGCCTTAATTCTTGTATCTGTATTCTTTTAATTGTTCTATTTATTAGTCCTTGTGTCATAACATTTATAATACTAAGGCATCCACCACTCAAGTAAAAATTTGAATCATTCCTTTCCACTAATTTTCCCTCTGGGCTTTCCATTTCTTTCAGTAGAAGTTATTCTTGCAGTCACTTAGGCTTCAAACCTGTGATTCATCCTGAGGTCTGCCTTATCTCCAAATTTAGTCAGGCACTATATTAGTTTCCTAAGGCTGCTGTGACAAATTACCACAAACCTTGTGGCTTAAAACAACAGAAGTTTATTCTCTCGCAGTTCTGGAGCCTAGAAATCCAC